AGTGAAGAGGAAGACAGAGGTGCCATATCTCTAAGAAACGCGAACTCCACTATAATGAGCAAATGCATACATTTTTTCAGGATGAAACCATGGATTTAATGCACTACTATGTGACCTTGTCGGTTGCAAGTGAAGTGATCATAGTGCTGTTGTTGAGCACTATGATGGAAGTACCTCAATTGGAACTAAACTTCTTGATTCTGTGGGGTTAAAAGGGGAAACAGTGGAATAACTTGCAAGTGAGGTTATGACTGTTATTACCAAATATCACCTCGAAGACAAAGCTGTGGCCTTCTCTGCAGACAACACCACAGCCCTGGCCAACTCTGTTGATGTGGTCACAGCCAAGCGCAGAATATTTGAGACAGAAGTACAGGTCTAATGTACCCACAGAGTCAGTGGAAGACCACTACAGGGTAAATGTCACTAGTGGATGCCAGGTCATACTTGTCAACCCTCACGTTTTTTCCTGGGATTCTCCCATATTTTACCCTTCTCTTCCGCTGTCCTCCTGTTTAAATATTTGCCTGTAAATCTCCCTTATATTTAACCTGTATTATAGAAGGTTTATAGGAACGTAAACCATTTAATAACCACCTAATTGTGGTCTCTTATGTAGGAACTACACAATCCTTGTTGCTCTGATATTTTAATATAAAGCAAGTGGTCGCCAAGGGGTAACTTTAGGTTTCACTGTGTGTACCCTTGTCTAAATGTAAGGGGTATGTGGACAGTGGTAGGGGTGGTGGGACAGCCCGGGGTGGGGCTGTGGAGAATGTCCCTTATTTTCAAATCCCAATGTTGACAGCTATGTGCCAGGTTCTCTCAAAGGACCAAAAGCGCTGAAAAAGCTGGAAAGGGAGGAAGAGCTGGTAGAGTGGTACCTAGAAGACCTCCCTGACCCAGACACAGTGCAGCAGTAAATCAACACAAGGGAGGCTAGTGAACATCTCACACATGCACACACACACACACACACACACACACACACACACACACACACACACACACACACACACACACACACACACACACACACACACACACACACACACACACACACACACACACACACACACACACAAAATGAGTAAATTGTACCAATTGTACCAGGTCCGTCTGTATGTATTTAATTATAGATAATGAAATGTGTGTAGCATATAGCTTGGGTTGTGTGTGTAGGTGTCATTTTGGTATACAGTAAAGCAGTAAAAAATACAATAAAAAAGCACAAAAAATTCCGGACCTCACTAATTTCTACACCCTGGCGACGACAGCCCATCGACGCCTGTACCCATACAGTAAAATGTTTATTGTACACATTTCCACACTCTTGTACACATTTAAAAAGGTAATTTATTCTACATTTCTTTCTTCTGTTCGATCTTTGTTTCTTCCATTCTTTCATTCGTTCTTTCATTCATCCATTCTTTCTTTCTGATTTTCAATTCAGACAATTTATGTTTTATATTTAATTTTGTTCTACTGTTGCTTTTCAGGGGGTGGAGTCAGACTGGCCCTCATAACCGGATTGGCAGAGTTAGAGGATCAACATTTTTCCCCCTGTGATTCTGCTCTTATCTGATTTGAACCCACCATGTAATCTTTTGCGTTTGCCAAAGTATTAATTTCTCATGGTCAGACAAAATCCCACACCATGTAACCAAATGCACATAGCCTAAACATCACTGACGTGGCCCGTGGACTTGAATGGATGCCATATATTTAATAATCGTTTCTATTTATAACATGTGTTGTTAGGGGGGGGGGGGGGGGCACACTCACATAAGCAAACTATTAGACAGCTTATGGCTGGAATTAACAGTTTAACAGTTTTGTATTGAAGTCCTGTCATCTCACACAATATGCCACCTATAATCTTAAGAGACGGGCTGAAACTGTGTCTGTATTTGAAACTCTAAAAGTTGATTAACAGAGATGGATAATCCATGCAACTGAATGGATTGATGGCAAAAGATTACGCCACCACAACCCCTGCAAATACAATTGTTTAATGGGAACCATGTTGTGTTGGTAGTGTTGATGGCTATACTCTAATGAATGAAGTAGTAGAGTGATCGATGCATGTTAATCAATATAGTTGAATCAGCCACCCGTAGCTTAATCTCAGTGTTTGAGAAACAAAGTAACTGCATTGAGAAGTAGAAACCAACAAAGGTAGTCTGGTAAAACATTGAATACATGTTGTAACAGATTAATTTGAATTGACATTTTTGGGCAAGACATTTTCAAGACATTTGGTTGGTTGAATGTTGTTCCAGCGCTGGCTGCTGTGCAGGGATCACCACTTTGTCCACTGTATACAAGTTCAAAAGTGAATAATGTACTGAATTAAAACAGAGGGCTTTCAAAAAGCAGTGACGCATGGCCCTGCTTTAATCCAGTTTACACTACCAATGCTGATCCTTTAAAATATACACTTCCTTAAAAATACATCCTGTTTGTACAAAACACACAAAAAAGAAAAGACAGATGACAAAGGGTAGATTCAAGGTTTATGTGTGCGTGTGTGCGTGTGTGCACATGCACGCACATGCATGTGTGTTTGTGTGTGTGTGTGCCACGCTGCGCCGTCGTGTGTGTGTGTGTGTGCCAGCATGTGTGTGTTTGTGTATTTGTAGTCCAATGGGGAATGGGCATGGAGGGTTACATAATCTGCTCCACATCTGACAGCCTAGATCACTAATGAAGTAAAAGAACTGGTAGAGCCAGGGCAGCAGACTGACATTTCACCTCCTTTCAACGCTTGACCGTCCCTCTGGGCTTGAGCTCCATTACAAGCCCTCAGCACTATGGGTTCATTGTTGTTGTCATGGTTGTAAAGCAAATTCTTATTATGGTGAAGCAGTGAATTTTTATGTCATGACAGTGAAAATCATTCTATATTATGGTAAAGAAAAGTGTTCTATATTATCATTAAGCAAATATTTCTGTAATGCACATAATTATTACAGCAAATTATTCTGTATTATGAAAAGTGAATAATTTTTGATCATGTCATAATAAAAATAATTCTATATTATGACTGAGAAAATCATTCTGTTATTAAAAAGCAGGAAACTATGTCTGTATTATGATAAAGAAAATGATTCTATATTTGCTAAACGGACAATTCTATATTGTGGTCGAGAAAACAGTTCTATATTACGGAGCAAGGAACAATTCAATAATATGGTGGTGACAACATTTTGCAGAACAAGGTTTTTGGGTGATTGGATCGCACATCTTTTAACTCTGGTCCTCTTTAGTGGGTTCATCATATGGCCAACTTGCTTTGTCACTGCATGTTTTATTGACATAAACCGTCCAAAAGATATTTATAAAATGTTTATTTTGTTTTGCCTCAGCCTTGTTTTGTGACGTAGGCCCTGTTCCTGTGTAATCCCCTCAAGAAGCCCACATGAAAAGGTCATTGGTTTACCAAAAATATATAAAAAATATGAATAATCCTTAGCAAACTGTAAGTACCTGAATATGTTTGACTGGAAAACTTCTTGGCTAGCAAGGAAGGGAAAAGCTGATAAAAAAAAGGACAGGAAATCAAAAATGAAAAAAAAAACAAAAAGTTTCCTGCCAGATTTGGATTGAAACTATGCGATAATCCAGTTGTTTTTAGACTTGGACCGAGCTGAAGAACAAATCTCTGAGGGATATATTTATACATATTTATCAGCAGAAAAATATGCTGCTGATGATGACCGTTGTGATGACGTATCACCATAAGCCTGGTGAAATGACTTGATGATAGAAAATGTTTGAGCAGTAGTAGCTTTATTCCTGTTGCTTTTTTAAAATCTAATGCTTGAACTTCATTTAACGGTCACAAACTACATCATTTAATTGTATAAAAGCATGGTCCATAATTCAGAGGTATGATAGAGGCCTTCCTAAATAGTTCAGCCCAAAAAAATGTGGTGGACTGTACCAACTGGCATTCTGGAGTTGATGTATCTATTGTGAACCTGTCCTATATAATAAGGCTTAATGCGAGATTGAACTTTGATGAAAAATAAAGAAAATATTGTCACATCTAGAGCCCCATAGGACTAAGCCATGGTGGAAAGAAAAATATAATTTACATCTCTTTGATTTTTTTAATGAATGAAAATATGCTAATTCACAAACATCTGGGTTAAATAAACCCTAAACAAAGTCAGAATGAGCTGACATTCATACCACTTTCACTCCATCATGGGGACATGATGAGAAGCAAAAGTCTAAGTCTAAGTAAGTTTAATCAGGGTAAGGTTTAGGGTTTTGGTTTTAATGTTTGGTTTAAGATTTTAGGGTTAGGTTTTAGGGTTTGCTTTTTGGTTTAAGGGTTATGGTTTCAAATTTGGGTTTAGTTTTAGGGTCAGGTTTTTGGTTCTAGGTTAGGTTAAGGTTAATGAAAAATCTTGATTTTCTTTGTTCTCTCCATCCTGTTGCTCTCCATCTTTTTCTCAATTCTCCATATTTTATCACGATTTTTCGTTCTCCATCTGTTTTCCCTCACTCTTTTTTTCTCAATATTTCGTTCCCTCCATCTTTTTCTCAGTCATTTTTTGCACATTTTTTGTTCTTTCTTTTTTCTCTCACTTTTTGTGATTTTTCGTTCTATCCAACTTTTTTCAGTTTTTTTTCATTCTCTCCATTTTTTTTCTTCTTTTTTGAGATTTTCTCTCCATCTTTTTTCTCACTTTTTTTCTTGATTTTTCGTTCTCCACCTTTTTATCCTTTTTTCGCATGTTCTTGTTCTCCATCTTTGTTCTCGATTTTTTCATTCTCTCCATCTTTTTTTTCTCTCTCTTTTTTTCTCGATTTTTCGTTCTCCATCTTTTTCTCTTTTTACTAGTTTTTTTGTTGTCTCCATTTTCTGCCCTCTTTTTTCTCAATTTTTTGTTCTCGATCTTTCTTTTTCTCGCTATTTTTTCTCGATTTTTTAAATTTAGCTAGATGTGGTTTTGAAATCTGACCCATTGAGTTCGATTTCTAGGATATAGGGGGAGCCCGGAATTGAACTGGGGACCTCTTGATCAGAAGTCAAATGCTCTGCCAGTGAGTTGTACCCCAATTGTTTTTAGTTCCTGTGTTAGGTTAGGGTTTCGTTTATAGGTTATGGTACGGTTTTAGGGTTAGTGCTTGGCTTTGTTTGCTTTAAACAGTCGCGACAAGGCCAACAGAGGCTTAAACTACCCCAGGGAGAACCTCAGACCAGTGGGGCCCAGCCCATTTCTAAGTTTATCCACATCCACAAGTGATTGCAAGTGCATGAATATTCCCCTCTCAGATCCTTATTTTCCAACTGCATTATGGGAGATTTTCACACCCATTGGAGGAACCGAGATTTGGATGCTTTCTGTGGAAACCAACCTTGAAAGTGGGATCTGTGAGGAGGCTATTGGAGACTTAGCGAGTGTGAAGAATGAGGGATATAAATAACCCCCACTTGACCTCCACCCATCTCCTATCATTCATCATTTCAACTAAATGCCCCAAGCTGCCTGTAACAGCTGTACTAGACACAGCTTTACTGGACACAGTGTTACTGAAAACAGCTCTACTGGGCACGTGTTACTGAACACAGCTTTACTGGACAAAGGATATATACAGAACAATACAGAGGTTAGGCTTGCACCACATGAGTGTCTTTTCTAGAGAAAGATTATGCGTCAACCTGGGCCACCAAGGGGACAATTTGTCAGCTTTGTAACACCAACTGGAGAGTTTAGACCAAGTTTAATTCAGTATGTCAGGGGGCCATATGGTGGTGTAATCATTATCCAGTAATTCAGCATCAATGGCAATGGCGGTTCTGAATCTGAATGCAATACAATGGACATGAGACCTATGTGGTGGGTTGAATTTCAAGTCTTGTTGTCTGGCAGTGCTCAGGTAGTTTTGGAATATGCCCTTGTGTAGATTTGAATAAAACATTCATGCACACACAGTGTTTGCACATTGATTATTGTTTATTATTTCACACACACACACACACACACACATATATTTGTCCTGTTTATATATATATATATATATATATATATATATATATATATATATATATATATATATATATATATATATATATATATACAGTATATATATATATATATATATATATATATATATATATATATATATATATATATATACAAACAAGAAGAAATATTAAACACCTTCCATTGATTTGAGCTGAACTCTTAAATGTATCTGTTTTGGATTAAACTGAGGATACATAGTGTTGAGTTTGTATACTGTCTGATTGGTGATGTCATCACACACCTGTACATTCTGTGATTGTCAAAGCTAGATTCTGTGACAGTACAAGCTACCCTTTGGCATTGAATGAATGAAGTGGAAATTGTCCAGTCTGGTTGTATAGTGCAATAAATCCTGCTTTCAATTTGATCTCTGTCTATTGCTCTGACCTCAATTCAGTTAAAGGATTACTCATCCCAAAACACATGTCTGTGCTTAATCATAACCTGAACTCAACACTGCAATGGAGCCCAACCTGGTTTATAAAACCTAGCCGGCTACTGCAAGCATGGTTTGACTATATAATAACCAGAAATGTATGACTGTATTATTGCCCGCATTGTCAGACAATATTGTGAAAAAAATAAAAATAAAATGATTGTCTGTGCAAACTAGTCTGAGGTAATTTGTTTGTAGAAGTAACTGCAGTTGATAGCATCCTCTTGTAAGCGCTATGCATTCTGTAATGGCTATAAGAGGATGAGGTACAAGACTAAACCTTGTTGTTAGACTGAGGGGATTTCATGGACTTTAGTGTGGAGCCTAATTTAATTTCAATCCTTACCTGTTTGATATTGATGACTATTTATCTAAGTCTTATTTCAGTCAAAGCTATTTCTTGGTTTTCTCTTATTTGGTATGGTTCTTTAAGTGCATTTCAAGTTTAACCAATGTTAGGATAACTTTAATTTTTTGATTTTTCAACCCGACCATATTTTCCATCATTTTGGGCCTCACTGATTAATGCAGACAACATTTTTTTTAAATTGGTCCAGTATTGAGCTAGAGGGCTTCAGCTGTCAGCCGCGAAACGGGCAGCAATGTAAAACTATAGGGCATTAGCACCCCGTTGATGTACGTCCTCTAACAGTGCTTGTTTTGCCGCTGACCGGCTCATATTGGATATATTATTATTATAAGTGTCTGACAACATCATGGAGAGGATCCCTGCAGAGAAATAAAACCAATGTCTTTACTTTTCGCTTGATTTGCTCTGTTTGTTATTGTGTCTAACCAAGTCTCGTTTACGTCCGGCTCTGACATCTCGAGAGTTGCGAGAGTTGAGTTGTCGCAAGAAGAGAAACGTGGAAACGTGAAAACAAACCGGAAACGTGAACCATTGTGCTTTAAAAAACCCATTAGGTTACACTAAGCTACGCTTTCTGTAGTCCAACACAACAAGCTCTTGCCTCCTCTCTCCAACTCTCACTCACATTATACCCTTCTCTTTCTAAGCTATTAGAAATATATTAATAGGTTATGCTATTATAATACACGTTTTGCTGTGTTTATCACCAATAAAACAAAACTGTCTGGTGAACGCTTGATGGTTTCAACATGTTAACATGAGTTAACTTGTTCCTCCAGATTTAAATTAGCTGTTTTGAAAATGAAAATCCCGGTCAGGCTTTTTTTTTGTATTTTTCTTAATCTAAATTTTAAGTATAAACATACATTAGTAATTTCAAAAGTAGGCCTATAGTTTCAAGAGAAAGTGATTTTGTTCACATGATCATTTAGTTTAGTTAAGATATCAACCAGACCTCTGTTTAAAAAAATGGCAAATAAGGCTGACTGAAGGAGATGCAAGCAATGTGAAACATATGCTAGCAATGCGGCTAGACAATATAGTTGCTGTAGCAATTCTTTCGGTTGACTGAAAAAAAAAAATGTTTCTATGGTATTTAACCCCCAAAAGTGTCTGCTGCCATTTACCATAGATTACATTGTGCTTCTTTGTTTGTGCTAAAATTGGTATTCTGTTTGTGCTTCTATTGAAACATATTTAAAATGTCCAAAACGTGGCTCACAAAACACATCACGTCAACATTTAAAAACACGAAACCTTGCAATAACCTTAGCAAATCTGCTTGACACTTAAAGGTGATTTACAATTATTTCCACATGTATTAAACTGGGACAGATGAGGTAAGGCTGGTGCAAAAAGCTGTGATATGTGAAATATGGACATAAATGATTACATTGAAGGACCCCTATTTTACCACAAGTGGGAGTGTCTGCCCAGATGTATGACAGACAGTCCATAAGGGAGCTGATCAGTGTGTTGACCTATACAGACAATAGGTGAAATAGGGGCCCTTTAAGGTCACAGTGGCCGCAGCAGTACTGACCAACAATGAATCCATGATATACGCACCACAAAACCACTGTACATACACACACACCACACACTGTACACCCTCAAAACAAACAAACAAACAAACAAACATACAAACAAATAAACGTATCCTAAGTACCTTCCAAAGAGAATCGACCAGGACAGTGAGTGTGTGTCAGTATTTGCATGCTTGAGTTTTTATTTGGACTTGTTCTCAATTTGAGGCACTTCGATCTTTTCCCCGGTGAGCAGCTGCCAGATGCCCCCTCGGTAGTTCTCGTTTCCCAGGGCGTACAGAAACACGTTGAAGGTGGGTGCCGTCTTAGCCAGGATAGGAGCCAACTGTAGGAGCACAGGCACACACACACTTGTTAATGCTTCTGATACATGCATATATTAATGAATGTATTAATAATTGGATATTAAATGTAAGATTTCTGGGGGGGGGGGGGGGGGGGGGAGTGATAGTTCAATGGTTAAAGGTGTCCTTACCATCCTCAGCTTGGGGGAGACCAGGGTGGCGTTCTCAATAGCAGCGTAGAAGGCCAGGATACCATAGGGACCCCAGCAGAACAGGAGAGTCTTCAGAGGGGTGCTGGCATTGAACTGCAGATCCATACATGAAGACAGAAGACAGAGAGAGACAGAGAGAGACAGAGAGAGAGAGAGAGAGAGAGAGAGAGAGACAGAGAGAGAGGGGGGGGGGGGGGAGAGAGAGAGAGAGAGAGAGAGAGTATGTGAGTGAGTGTGTGGAAAGATTCAAAAGAAAGAATATAAAAGGGGGAGGGGGGGGGGGGGCAATGAGTGAGATATATAGCAACTGAGTGACTAAGTGAGAGAGTGGAACGGTACAAAAGAAAGAATATGAAAGGAAACATACAATGGAGGAGAAGAATAAGAACAGGAGAACAAAATGGTGCCCTTGTGACAATAAAGAGAGAGATTAGAGAATAAGACCGCGATGCCACAAGGCTCGTTCACATGCAGGGCTTATAGTCACATGTCTAGGATAAAACGAGGGGAATAAACCCCCAGAAGAAACTAGCTATTGTGTGGCGAGAGGTCTAATCTCATTCTAGGTTCAGCAGTAGCCCTTCAGGTTCACCGCGAACACGGCTCTAAGTCGTAGCGTAGGCCATCATCGCAACCTCCCATCACCTCCCCGTAAACACTGCTGTGGGGTTTCATGTTAAACTCTGCTTTGATCTGACGTTACGGCAGCCATCTTCATGCATAATTCAATAAGTCTTTTTATATTGATTATGTATGCAATCCGATTATCTCATTATTTTCATAATATCTAAATAACGCAATCCAATTATCTCATTATTTACATACTATGAAAGCTGAGGTAAGTGCAACCGACAACAACATCAACAGCTGGTAACTACGTAACCGGGTTGTTGAAAAGAGGAGCGTGTGTGTTGTAGCCACCATGCCTTTGTGATCGGTTGTAAAACGTGCTGCCATGCGGTTCAGAAAACTGTGAGTAATGAGCGTACGCGACAACAAATACGCTACGAGGGCCTGAGGTTGTCCACTAGCGCGGCCCCTATTCACACCCCCCTCTTGTTACGTTGTCTTTTTCACACAAAACCCGCCACTGGACACAGGCTGGGATACTATAGTGGGTTCCCCCTGCAGCAGTGACCTACATACGTACTGTATGGCCTCGGCTCACTCAGCTCTGCG